CTTGATCACCCCCTTTTTCCTTCGTCTTCATTTTCTATCTATCTCCTTTATCTCTCTCTTATCAACCCTTTTTCCTTCTTCTCCCTTTCTCTCTCTCTCTCTCTCTCTCTCGCTCTCTCTCTCTCTCTCTCTTTCTCTCTCCTCTCTCTCTCTCTCTTCTTCTCTCTTTTCAACTGTCTCTTTTTACCCCTTTTCCTTCTTCCTCCCTTTTCTTTCTCTCTCTCTTTATCACTCCCTTTTTTCTGTTCCTCCCCTTCTTTCTCTCTCTTTTTATCTCTCTCTCTCTTTATCACCCCATTTTTCTTCTTCCTCCTTTTCTTTCTCTCTATCTTGATCACCCCCTTTTTCCTTCGTCTTCATTTTCTATCTATCTCCTTTATCTCTCTCTTTATCCACCCTTTTTCCTTCTTCCTTCCCTTTTCTCATCTCTCTCTCTCTCTCTCTCTCTCTCTCTCTCTCTCTCCTCTCTCTCTCTCTCTCTCTCTCTCTCTCTCTCTCTCTCTCTCTTCTCTCTCTCCTCTCTCTCTTCTCTCTTTCTTGCCTCTTTCTTCCTCTCCTCCTCTTCTTTCTCTTTCTTTTCTCTTTATCAGGGTTTTGCTGCCAGTCGCGTGCAAGAAGAGGAAGCATGTTTCATTAGGAAGCTCAGTGGTACTCTGGAGGAAGCCTCAGCTGAAGCACACAGGGTATGTTGGCTTCGGTTATTTTCCTGTCTTGTTGTGATTGATGTTTGTATTTATCTGGTTTTGTTGATATTCGGTGTTGTTGGTTTATTTATTATATTTTTTTCCTTTCTTTTTTTTTTCCTTACTTTTTTTTTTCATTTCTTCTATTATTTCTTTCCCGTATTCTTTCCTTTCTTTCCACTTTCCCTTCCTCCATCCTCTTTCCCTCCTTCCCTTCCACCTCCCTTCTTCCTTTCCTTCCTTATCCCTCCCTCCTTTCCTTTCCACCTCTCTTCCTTCCCCTCCCTTTCTACCTTCCTCACCCCCTTCTTTCCTTCCTCCTCCCTCCCTTCCTCCCTCCTCCTTCCTTTCCACCTCCCTCCCTCAATCCCTCCCTTCCTTTCCCACCTCTCTTCTTCCCTCCCTCCTTCCTCCCTTCCTTTCCACCTCCTCCCTCCCTTCCCACCCCCCTCCCTCCCTCCCTCCCTTCCCACCTTCCTTTCTTCCTTTTCTTTCCACCTCCCTTCCTTCCTTCCTTCCACTCCCCAGCTGGCATCAGCGGGTCCTCAGACGAACCAAGGAAGCGAGGAAGTCTTAGCTATCCCTGCCGACGACGCTGAAGAATGGGCAGGTTCTCGCATCATCGAACACTGCGGAGACTTCCCTATCTATAAGCTGGTGAAGACAGAAGAGGATGTGGAAGGTGAGTTAGTGGGAGAAGGGAGGTGGGAGGGAGGGAGGGAGGGGAATGGGAGGAGGGTGGGAGGGAAGGATGGGAAGAGGGAGAAGGGGATGGCACAAACCGAAATCTCCAACGAAAACAGGATCTCACCTCCGTTTCTCTTTCCCTCCACAAACCGAAACCCAAAGAAAACGGGATCTCAAACTCCGTTTTCTCTTTCCCTCCTCAAAGAAAACGGGATCTCAACCTCCGTTTTCTCTTTCCCTCCAACACCTGAAATCTCCAAAGAAAACGGGATCTCAACCTCCGTTTTCTCTTTCCCTCCACAAACCGAAAAAAGAAAACGGATCTCAACTCCGTTTCTCTTTCCCTCCTCAAAAGAAAACGATCTCAACCTCCGTTTTCTCTTCCCTCCAACACCTGAAATCTCCAAAGAAAACGGGATCTCACCTCCGTTTTTCTCTTTCCTCCAAACACCTGAAATCTCCAAAAGAAAACGGGATCTCAACCTCCGTTTTCTCTTCCCTCCAACACCTGAAATCTCCAAAGAAAAACGGGATCTCAACCTCCGTTTTCTCTTTCCCTTCTCAACCTTTTCTCTTTTCCACCATCCCAAAGAAAACGGGATCTCAACCTCCGTTTTCTCTTTCCCTCCAACCTGAAATCTCCCAAAGAAAACGGGATCTCAACCTCCGTTTTCTCTTTCCCTCCACCCTGAAACAAAGAAAACGGGATCTCAACCTCCGTTTTCTCTTTCCCTCCAACACCTGAAATCTCCAAAGAAAACGGGATCTCAACCTCCGTTTTCTCTTTCCTTCCGCAGCCGAGAACGCCCTCATGGCCTCCTCCTCCTCCTCCTCGGACAACGCCCTCGAGACCCGCCAAACCTCCGTCTCCTTCCGCAGGTGTTTCTTCTTCTTCTTCATCTTCAAGTGCATCACCACCACCATCACCGTTCCAACCGGCACGACCATCGTCTTCTTCTTCTTCGGCTAAACGACGGGTCTTTTCTCACTTTCCTTTTTTTTCTTCTTCTGTTTCTTTCTATCTTCCTCCTTTCCCTCCTCTTTTTCTCTCTCCTTTCCGTTCGTTCTTTTAGCTATCTTCCCTCCTTCGCCTTCCTCTCTTCTTTTCCGTATTTTCACTGTGTCCTCCTTCTTCATTTCTCTCATCTTCAGCGAAATGGAGGAAGAACAAAGACACGATAACAAGAGAGAAAGGAAAGAAAAGGAAACAAAAGAAGAAAAAAAGGAAGGAATGAGAACAGCGAAAATAACATTACCGACGTGGAATTTTGACATAAATGGATGATTAATAATAACATAACTTTACTGATGGACATCTTAATTAATCTATTATTCAACTCTTCAATTCTACCACGAATTTCAACAATCTTTTAAGACCGTATTCCCAAGTTATTGGAATGGAATACAAAAGGTTTTATTATTTTGCAAAAGTGTGATAATCCTGATGATACAATTGCATGGTAAATATACCGAAATGTAAGCATACACTTTAGTATACCATTTGACTGGCTTTAGGCTATGAATGTATTAGATTAAGTGTGTGAAGTATGATTGAAACAAAAAAAAAAGGCTCTTGGTGTGTAATTTGAGTATGTGCATATTTCACATATAAATATATAATATATATATATAATATATATATATATATATATATATATATATATATATATATATATATATATATATATATATATATATGTGATGTATCTGTGATCTCGAAATAAAGGTGATTAATCTAATATTTGTTTGATATACAATACCTTATTTTAAGTACCTTTCTCTCCATATTTCTGCCTTTTTATATTATTTTCAAAAATTAAAATGTACTTACTTTTTACCTTTTAATTTAGGGGAAAAGCATTGTGTTATTTTCTTATGTTGTTTTGTCTTTGGGATATATTTTTCAATTACACTATATGTTCAGCTTCATATGCTTATTGGAAAATCTCGGTTTCACAGCACTGATTCTGTTTAAAAGGCAAATAGTGATAATAACAACGAATAAAAAAATAAAAACAAACAAACACACACAACCACTTCTCTCTCCCTCCTTCCCTCTCTCTTCTCTCTCCCCCTTCTACCCTCTCTCTCTCTCTCCCTCCCTCTCTCTCTCTCCTTCCCTCCCTCTCTTCTCTCTCCTTCCCTCCTCTCTCTCTCTCTCTCTCTCTCTCTCTCTCTCTCTCTCTCTCTCTCTCTTCTCTCTCTCTCTCTCTCCTCTCTCTCTTTTCTCTCCCTCCCTCCTCTCTCTCTTCTCTCCCTCCTCTCTCTCTCTTCTCCTCCCTCCTCTCTCCTTCTCTCTCTCCCTCCTCTCTCTCTTCTCTCCCTCCCTCCCTCTCTTCTCTCTCCTTCCCTCTCTCTCTCTATCTCTTTTCTCTCCCTCCCTCCTCTCTTCTCTCTCCTCCCCCCTCTCTCTCTCCTCCCTCTCTCTCTCTCTCTCTCCCTCTCCTCTCCCTCCCTCCCTCTCTCTCTTTTCTCTCCCTCCCTCTCTTCCTCTCTCTCTCTCTCTTTCTCTCTCTATCTTTAATGCTTGATTTTTGGTTTGGTAACACTGCTCCCAAATTTGAATCCAGATGCGCTCATCAAAGGAAAAAAAAAAAATCACGCTTTACATTAGTACATATATATATATATATATATATATCTTCATAAGTACAGTATGTAACCTTTGCAATCCACCACGCTCTATGGCTTCTATTGTATCAAAATATAGGCTGCCATATATAAATATATACAATATATAAGCATATCCTCACTCAAGTTACCTTCCTTTAATTGGTTGTATGTTTTCGATTATGAAAGAAAATGGAATTCACAAAAGAGGTTTTCAGAACATCGATCGCAAAAAATAACGGAATTCACCTAAAAAGGTTGTCAAATACCGACCTTCTGCACTGACCAAACTGCTCAAAATCGCTTAATGAACCACTTTAACCAAACCATTGAGTCTTTATCCTCCCTTGCAGTTCGAGCTTCTGGGTAACTACACTCTCAACGCTGGACCCAAACATTGCATATACAAAATATACAGGATAAAATATTTTGGTCCATATATAATTCTAAAACAACTCAACGATATATTTAGCACCATATCCTAACCCTGCACTATATTATTAACGAGACCACTTCCATATAATTCATCTGAAACAAAGAAAATGTACAGGTACAGGTAACTGATTAAAACCTGACAAAATGTGCATACAATTAATTTGAAACAGAAACCAGGTACAGGTAATTCATTTGAAACTGACAAAATGACAAATCCATCTGACACAGTGATTATGTACAGACAATTTATCTGTAATAATGGTGAAAAAAAAAACATACTCCCATCGAATTTTGTCTCTCAATACCCAAGGAAAGCAATCGGATCGCACTATCTCGAAAGGGGCCTCCGATAAACAAGTTCAGGTCGTCCCTTGCTTACATCGTGGCCATAGGAGTGCTGGTTTCAGTCTTAATGGGTTTCGTCACAATCTACCTGTTCGGATCCCTGGTTGACCTGCAAGGCATAAGGAAGGAAATATTCACAACGGAAGACTACCGGAAGTAGTTGGCGGGTGCCCAGAACATCAACCAAAGGTCTAGCGAATTTCTAACAGCATGCACAATCTTCGTGGGATGTTTAGTGTACTTGGCCAACAATCGCAACATATCGCAAATGACCTTTTTCTCATCTTCATCGTAATTTACAGGCGGGTTGGCAGAAAACGCGAATTCTAGCTTCGCAGTTTCTACCTTATGCAAGATTTCCATCCAGAAATACCGGTTGGACACCTTGGCTTCCTTCTTTGTCAGAGGTTTGTTATAGTCGATCTTACAGTTCCTGCACTGGAGACTCAGAGGACACAAGGGCTGGGAGCATTTCAGGCAAATAAGGGTCAGACTGTTAGAAATGTCTTTGAACAGTGGCCAGTCGCCTTTACAAGCCCTGCAATCGCACAGGAAGTGGTAGCCTTCTTGCAGCAGCGCCCTCCGCTCCTTCCTTTCCATGTGTAGGTGGGAAACCCCATAGGAGCGGGTCACTTCGCCTCCTTTCTGAATGAAACTTAAAGACATCATCAGACTTCCTGTTTGGTAAGTAAGGACAGTGGCCGTCGGATCGCAGGAGTGGTTTGCCAGGCTCAGCGTCGGGAATAAGCCAAGGCCGATCTCGACGTGAAGGGTCTTCTCTAACACACGCGTATGATTCTGTGGAATAGAAATCGCGGGTTCAGTGTCCAGTCTCCCAACAGCGTCTGATCTCGAAAATTCCATGTTGGCGGGCCTTGCATTTCATATTCGCTAACACTGAAGATCCTAACATACTTGTTGATATGATAAATATTCAGCACTGTGTTTTTAATGTTGAGTCTGCATCATGCTGCCTGTTAAATATCTATTATTAAACGTCCGGCAGAAGGCTCCTTAGCATGGGACGGAACTAAGGCAAATAAAAAGGACAGATATATTAAAATGACAAATGCCAAGGACGAATCTATCCAGACAAATCGCCACAGGGAGAGGGAGATGTGAGGAGGGAAAGAGTGTGAGGGTGAGGGAGGGGACAGGGGGGGGGGAGGAAAAGGGAGGAAGGAAGTCCTTACCATGATGGTGAGTCCGTTGCAAGTCGCCCTGAGTACGTGAGAACAGAGAGCGGTTCCCACGAGCACCAGGTCCTCGTGCGAGGGCGTGCAGGGCTGACCCTCCTCGCCGCAGAAGAACCGCCCGCTCTTCTGCAGGAGTTTCAGGAGGACGAAGGCCACGACGCAGGCGTTGAAGAGATCGAGGTCCGGCCGCTGTGCCTGGTTGGTGTTGAGGTGATACACGGAGCGGTAACTCGACACGTATTTATCCTCGCCGTTGAGCCCGAGCGTCGCCGGCTTGCGCGTCTCGACTTCCTTGCGGAGTTGCAGGTCAGCCTTCTTCAGTTTCTTGAAGGACATCTTGGTGACGATCCTCAAGGCCAGGAGCACGTGTGCGGGGAGGCCGAGGCCGGTCAAGTTGGGGCCTATCGGACACTCGACCCGGTGGTAACTCGACAGCGCTTCCTGTTGACACTCCAAGCTGCAGAACATAACCTGTGGAGTGGCAAGATCTTAGTCAAGAATGACTGTAGATCTTTTCTAGCTTTGATTTTTTTAATCATTATTTTTATTTTATTTTCAATTTTATTTATTTATTTTTTTTTTTATTTATTATTTTTTTTTTTTTTTTTTTTTTTTTTTTTTTGGGGGGGGGTATTTCCAATATGCGCAGACAATATATGTAGTTCTTCCCTTTTCTCTGCCCCCCTCTCCCTCTCTCTCTCTCTCTCTCTCTCTCTCTCTCTCCTCTCTCTCTCCTCTCTTCTCTCTCTCTCTCTCTCTCTCTCTCTCTCTCTCTCCATTGTTACTCACACTTTCCGGACTTATGGGAGTTAAGAGAAAAGAGAGAGAGAGAGAGATGCAGAGGAGGGAAGGGGAGGAGGAGGAGAAAGGAGAGAGAGAGAAAGAGGAGAAGAGAGAGAGAGAGAGAGAGAGAAGAGAGAGAGAGAGAAGAGAGAGAGAGAGAGAGAGAGAGAGAGAGAGAGAGAGAGAGAGAGAGAGAGAAGAGAGAGAGAGAGAGAGAGAGAGAGAGAGAGAGAGAGAGAGAGAGAGAGAGAGAGAGAGAGAGAGAGAGAGAGAGAGAGAGAGAGAGAGAGAGAGAAGAGAGAAGAGAGAGAGAGAGGAGAGGAGAGAGAGAGAGAAGAGAGAGAGAGAGAGAGAGAGAGAGAGAGAGAAGAGAAGAGAGAGAGAAGAGAAGAAGAGAGAGAGAGAGAGGAGAAGAGGAAGGAGAGAGGAGAGAAGGAGAGAGAGAGGGAAGAAAGAGAGGAAGAGAGAGAGAGAGAGAGAGAGAGAGAGAAAGAGAAGAGAAGAGAAGAGGAGAGAGAGAAGAGAAGAGGAGAGAGAGAGAGAGAGAGAGAGAGAGAGAGAGAGAGAAGAGAGAGAGAGAGAGAGAGAGAGAGAGAAGAGAGAGAGAGAGAGAGAGAGAGAGAGAGAGAGAGAGAGAGAAGAGGAGAGAGAGAAGAGAGAGAGAGAGAGAGAGAAGAGAGAAAACTCCAGAGAGAAACCACCGTCTTACCACCGTACACTCCGGACAGGGTATGACAATACCCTTATGGTCTGCGAGGCAATGCGAGCATATTCCCGTAACCTCTGAGTCGAGAACGGTTGCGAAGCTCTTCTCCACGCACAGCAACTCCCCTGGAAGAAAACAAAACAAAACATTCCAACATTACTGTTACCATTCCTGCTATACAGACACCAGAGAAAGTTACATACACACGGTATTGTCAAATTCGACAACCTGCAAGATAATAATGCCACTGCTTTCATTCATATACTTTGAGGGTTCATGGCATCAACAATTCTTTTTTTTTTTTATCACCGTCATCATAACATAATTCCATAAGGTACCTGGATTGATGTCCCTCGTCGCCACCAGGTGTCTCCCCTTTGCGCGCGTGTAAGCCACCTTCACGGCGCTGCTCAAGGCTGGCGCGGACCGGTTTTCATTCTTCAGTTTGGGGACTTTGAATTCCCTTTCCTTGGCGAGGGCAGGAGCGCTGAGAGAAAAGGACGGGGAGCCCTTTGAGGAAGACGCGGCCTTCCTGCACAGCTGGCGAACCATCAGGAGAGACACTTTGGCATTGGCGAGGGTCAGTTCGTCGCAGGGGAGGCTTCCCAGGCCCTCGAGAGCGGCGTCCAGAAGCGCCACGGCCTCCTTTTCCCTGTCGAGCGCTATGAGGCACCTGGCCCACCTGCTGACCAGCTTATACCGCAGGCGCTTCGGGTAGCCGAACCTGAGGGCGAGGCCAATGTCCCTGAGGCAAGCGGGGTATCGCTTCAGCTCCAGCAGCATCGCCGACCGGTTCGCGTAGGCCAGAGACAACACCTGTTTCCCTTCGTCTTCCTCCTCCTCTTCCGTCGAAAAGGGCGGGAACGGGGTCTCGCTCCCTCCGAGCGATTCCTTCTCGCCGGCAGCGGGGTACGGGCGCCGTGGAGGATGGGGCGCCAGCAGGATGCTCGTGCTGAACATCTGCAGCGCCTGGGCAGTGAGCCTCCGGTCGTAAAGCGCATTGCCTAGAGCGCGGTAGTGCTCGGCGGCGTTCGCATTCTTCTCTTCCTCCCAGCGGCACTCTGCGGGCGTGAGGTGCAGGTGGGCCTCGGGAAGCCCCAGGAGAAAGGACATCATCTCGACCAGGGGCTTCTTGCTCCGGAAGCTGTCCACGACCTCCATGATCGCACAGCCTTCGAATCCGCTGAGGAACTTGTCCGTAAGTTCTGCCAGCGTCTTCGACATCGTGGGTGGCCGGGAGTTTGGACGAGAGAAAGAGGAGAGGGAGGAGGGTGGGGGGCGGGGAGGCCCGGGAGAGATGAAGGAGGAAGGGGGTGCAAGAGGGCCGGGGGAGAGGGAGGAGAAAGGGAGAAAGGGAGAGGGAGAGGAGGGGGCGCGGGGAGGACCTGGGGAAGCCGGGGAGAAGAGAGGACCAGAGGGAGAGACAGGAGGAGGAGGAGACGCAAGGAGGGCCGGGGGGAGAGAAGGAAGCTCTGGGGGTGCAGGGAGGGCCGGGGGGAAGAGGGAGGAGGCTGGGGGGGCGAAGAAGATCCGGAAGAAGATGCGCAGGAAGGAGCGAGCAGAGGAGGGACGTCGGGTGTCAGCTGAGAGCGAGGAACAGAAGATCCAAGGTGGTGGCGCAGGTGGCCAAACAGACGACAGGAAATGTAAACAAGCGCACAGTTTGCCCCAATTGCGAGGACTGCGATCGACAAAAAGGCAAAGGCGAAGAGGGGAAGACAAGAGGATATAAACAGAGATAGAAAAACAACAATCAGAAGGAATGTGGAGAAGAGAAAAAAGAAGATAAACAGCGCAGTGACGAGAAATAGAGGATTGTCTTCATAGTCAGTTTCGACGGGCGGGAAATGCCTGAAAGAAAAAAAAAAATCAATTAAAAGAATTCATGAAAATATCGGTGAAACAAACACACACAGCAATTATAACAACAACAACATGTGATTTCTCCGACTCCCCCCCCCCTCCGTTCCTCTATCCTGTACCATGCCCCCTGCTTTCTCCCTCCTTTATCATCCTCCTTACCCTTGTTTCCCTTAGCTCCCCCCCCCCTCGTCTTACCTCTATTCCTCTTCCCCTTTTCTACTCCTTTCCTTCCTCTCCCTCCTTTTCCCTTTTCTACTCCTTTCCTCCTTCCTCTCTCTCTTCTTCCTTCCCCTTTTCCACTCCTATCCTTCCTCCCTTCGCCCTCTTTCCTCATTTTACTTTTCTCTGAAACCTGTGTTCTGTTTTATTTCATTCTCTTTCGCCTTTCTACCTACGTTCCTTCGTTTTCTATTACCCCTTCCCCTTTCGTTTCTTTCGTTCACTCTCATCTATCCTCGTTTTCTTTTCCTTTCTATTCTTTCCCCTCTATGCTAATCTCCTCGTCTTCTATTTTTCCCCTTTTCTTTAAGTCATCTTACTCATTTCTTTCGTTTCCATCTCTTGGCTTTCGCTTAGTTTTCCCCTTTCGTTCTTTTTCTTATTTCTTTCCTTTTTCGTTCCTTTTCTTAATCTTACGTCCGTGTACCTACCCCCCCCCCTATCCTCCACCCTAGCACCCTACCTGTCCCCTTGATTCCCTCGATCCTTGGTCCCGAATCCTGCTCCGAAGCTTGGGTCATCCAGCTGGAGATGATTCCCGCCCACACTCACGCCCCACCTCGCTTACATTGCTGCCCTAAGAATGATGTATATATGTGTTAAATAATAAAAACAAAAACTTATTAGTGATTGTTGTTTTCGACACACACATACACGCTACACCTCGCTTACATTGCTGCCCTAAGAATGATGTATACATGTGTTAAATTTTAAAAAATAAAAAAAAAACTTATTAGTGATTGTTGTTTTCGTTTCCCGCTTGGGCTTCGAAGCCTTCGAATCCCTGAGTGTCCGAATAAGCCAGGTGGCAAGTCATTTTTATATCTATTCTTTTGCGAGATTTCATCGGCCCTTGCTTAAAATGAAGTCTCCTTTTTTAAACTAGATAAGAGCCTAAATATTTATCATTTTTATATATTTATTATTTTTGTTTTTTTAAAGAAACTATTTTCATACCCCCCCCCCCCCCCTGACGTATTTTAGAAACTTTTCCTTTTGCTTTAAGATAAGTTTAACTTTTAAAATTACTTTTAATGTCAATTTAATTATTATTCTTTTGCTTTTTATCCTGGCTACTTATTTTATGAATTTCTGAATATTTTTCTTTTACGCTCACGACCTGCCACGTCACCTGCTTAATTACGGATTATACTAATTAATGGAAGCCCATAGAGGAGACTCGAGTAACCCTATTTTACTACTGTATGTTTTTACTTTGTTCTGCTGTTTCTTTTAATGATTAAATGTACAATTTTACTGAGTTTGTTAACGGGGATTTTATTCAACTAATATTTTTCTTCTATTCCTTGGTGTGCAGTTTGTACCAATGTTTTTTTACCCTTTTCTACCATTGTTTATTGTTCATTTGTTTTATTGTTGCATGATATGTTTATAAATTATTATAATCTGTTTTGTTGAAATAACTGATGCCCGACTGTATAAATACTGCCCAAAATAAACCTGTACGGGAGTTGTCTCTGGACTCTGTGTTTATGTTCTTATCCTTGGATTACCCGTTACTGTGGCGTCGCTGGAACTACAAGAAAAGGTTGTGTCTGACTCTTTTACAATGCCAGTTAGGATATTGCTGGACGTGTCGATTGCAATTAATATTCACAACCCTAACGGATTAATTTGTACTGGCCAGCACCAGCCAGGGACGCCCCCTTTGAACGTTCACCTGTCCCTTTAGGGGGCATTTGAACTTTTATTTCTTATTTATTTTCTTAATGTTCAGTGTTTTTTTTTTTTTTTTTTTTTTTTTTTTTTTTTTTTTTTTTTTTTTTTTAATGGTCCGTGTTTTTTTTAATGCCTGTCAATGGTGTTGATTTTTTTTTAATTCACGAATTCACGAAGAAGCCAAGAACGACACACAGCCAGACCCATTTTCTTAAGGGATACGTGCCTGGGGTATGGGACACTACGTCTCCTCGTAGGGGGAGTGAACGGGCCCCCTCCCCCCCCCCCTCCTCCTTTCTTTGGGCCCTAAGCCGCCATCCACCACTCGGGCTGGATGATTTTCGGGCTTACAAACAATAATGATAATAATAATAATAGCAGTAATAATAATAACAATAACGATAATAGTGATAACAATAATAATAATATCAATAATATTAATAATAACAAAATAACAGCAACAACAAAACAACAACAATAATAATAATTGTTATAATAATAATAATAATAATAACAACAACAATAAATAATACAAACAACAACAATAAATATACAATAACAACAACAAAAAAATACAAAAACAACAACAATAACAACAACAACACAATAAAAATACAATAACAACAACAACAACAATAAACAATAACACATACATAAAAGAACCCAATAAATCTCTCTCCATCAATGAACATTTCTCACATAATCACTTTCTGAACTTGTTGTTCCTGATCTTTACCTATCCGAGACCTTCAACCTTGGCTGCTGGAACATATTTTGCATCACAGTTTTGCCAGTTTTGTTACTCCGTTCTTCGGATCCGTTCGCCGTTCTTCCGCCGTCGCCTGATAACGAAAACATATTCATAATTGTTCTCTGATAACGAAAACATATCCATAATTGTTCTAAGTCTATCTAAACCCTTTATTAAGAGAATGAAAGAGGAGTCAGGTATGTGTGTGGGTGTCTCTTTTGTACCGTGGGTGTGGTTTTAGAATAGACAGATGGTGTATTCATGGGTAAAAAAAAAAAGGTCAAAGATATGAAAAGTTTCGCGGTGTCTCAAAAAAAAAATAAATAAATAAAAAAATTAAAAAAAATAAATATATAACAATATAATATATATATATATAATATATAGTATATATATATATATATATATATATATATAAATATATATATATATATATATATATATATATATATATATATATATATATATAGATAATATATATATATATATATATATATATATATATATATATATATATATATATATATTTATATAATATATATATTATAATATATATATATATATATATATATATATATATATATATATATATATATATATATATATTATATTATATATATATATATATTATATATATATATATATATATATATAAATATATATATATATATATATATATATA